TGGTGTGTGTATGCATGCTGCGCCTGCCTCTGTACAAGTTTCTGGTGGTTGTTTGTGTGTATGCAGATCGTTGTGTTTTGTCATTCTGTGTTTGGTTGTTTATGGGTTTTGCTGCTGCTGTTACTGTTGCTGCTGCTGCTGTTGCTGCTGCAGCTGGGCAGCATGGATTACTATCAGCTGCGGTTGATGCTGCGGATATGTAAGCATCTGAACCCCGCCCTAAACGACCCGCAGCTGACGCAGCTATCTAGGGGTGCTGCTGCTCTCCTCACTGACGCTGTACCCTCTCTAGACCTTCAGCAGCTATGCTGGTCAGCACATAAACCCTGCTGCTGCTGCTGCTGCTGCTGCTGTTGCTGCTGATGATGATGGTGCTGGTGTTGCTGTTGCTGTTGCTGCTGTTGATGCGGCTGCTGTTCCTGGTGCTGCTGTAACTGCTGCTCCGGTGCTGCTGCTGTTGTTGCTGCTTAGATGCTTCGCGTGATGAGGATGCCGGTGGTCTCCCTGCTGCTGCTGCTGCTGCTTTTGCTGCTAAAACTCTGTTTACAATCTTTCTTCTGCTGCTGCTGCTGATGATAGCGGTACTCTTTCTGCAGCTGCTCCCACTGATTCTGGTGATGACACGGCTTCTGCTGCAGTTCCTAATCTTGCTTCTATTGCTGATATTGCTTCGGTGACCGTGCTGCTGCTGCTTCTGCTGCTGCTGCTGCTTCTGCTGCTGCTGCTGCAGCATCGCAACGTTTGTAGAGCAAAGGTGTCCAGACACCCCAGCGGAGTACGGGGTCCTAACGCGGGCCCTGGTAGCAGCTTTAGAGGCTTCAGCTCCCCCCTTGCTGCCAGCAGCCACCACAGCAGCAGCAGCAGCAACAGCAACCGGCGTAGGAGGAACAGCAGGACCATCAGCCGAAGGAGCAGCAGTATCATCACCAGCACCAGCTGCAGCAGCAGCACCAGCAGCAGCAGCAGCAGCAGCAGCAGAATCTGGTGAGAGTGTGTGTATTGATCCTCTGTCTGTGGTGCATCCGCTGCACGATTTGGTTGATTTGGTAGACTGCGTGGCCTCGC